CTTTTCGCAATGATGTTTAGTAAATACCTTGAATAATTTAAAATATAATACATTTATTTTTGCTTCTCAAATAAACAATTTAAATAAACTTTTTATTTTTTACTATTTTGACCGTCAAAATTTGACAGGATAACCTAAATTAAAACCATAACCTAAAACCAATAAATCTGTGGGTAAAAGGCATAAGAGGATAAGTCAAAAAAAGCAATTTTTCGGTAGAGACTTAAACGTGTTCGTATTAATTCAGGAAATATATTTATGGTTAGCGAGCATACCCTTTTGCTAGCATATGACATGTGCTGGCAAAAGGATATACCCGCTAACCATAAATGTATTTCCTAAATTAATGCGAACACGTTTAAGGCACTACTAAAAAATTGATTGTTTTGACTTATCCCCTTATGCCTTTTACCCACAGAAATGTCAGGCGGGTACAACTAGCGGCATAGCGGGCCGAGTGTGCGTAACAAGGAGCGTCAAATATGTGACAGTGGCGTATCTATATGATTTATTATCTATGCTTACAAGCGCCTCTGTAAAGCCGGGTCTACAATTGTCGCAGAACGCAGATCGCAGAACGTAAGCATGCGCAAAGCACCCATCCACGTCGCGATGGAGCAAGGTCACACGTCGTTATGTGAGCTGTCTACAATTGTCGCGCGATGTTGCTTTTATTGACCAATCAGAGCAATTGTTTTCTTTATAACCACAGTGTGGCCAACGTAGAAGTGTTTCCCCTAAATTTAGTGAAAAAAAACAGAGATATGGAGATATCTCTAAAAAACTGCTTAGGGTTTATTTTTAGGTAAAAAATGTTTAAGAGTTTATATATAATTATATTTGTATATTATATAATATAAATGAAAAAATGCAAATTTTTAGGGAATAAAAAGTAAAGTGTTGGTGACACTGGGTTGAGTAAACTTACCGGAACAGGGGGAGTGAACGCACAGCCCTAGCGATTCCCAGGTTTGGTTTTTACTATGTTGATCTCTGTAACCCTTTTCCTTTTTTGCATAGAGCACTGGATTAACTTTCACTAATCTTATTAACTCAAGAATATTCTCTTTCGTCCATGAATAGCCGGCCATGATCGTTATTTTTAAATATGTTTTTACTATCAGAGCATAAACACAATTAATGTTAACACATACCAAAGATTATTAAATATACTCTTCGCTTTTTACCTATTAAATAGGTATAATTTAATTATATATTATATATTATAATTATACCTATGGGTTAACCCAGAATTTCGAGGTAATTTTAGCAAATTTAATATATGTACCTAAGTAAGAATTAGTATTTTACCTGATAAAATAAATTAATTTTAAAACAAAAATTACCTTGATTATCATAATACTTTTGGTAAACAAATATTTCCAATATTGGATTGGAAAAATTGTTTAGATTATCATAGAATTAGTTAATATTATTTAAAATTTTAAATAATTATTTTGATCAAAATTTGAAAATTCTAAATGATTTTCGATATTTCCTAAAAACTACCTATTTAAACAGGGGCGTAGCTACCGCCGTATCAGCCGTATCAATGATACGGGGCCCCCGGCTAGGGGGGCCCCCGATTGGCTTCGACATGCGTAAGAAAAAACATATTACCCACATGTTAAAAAAATTGAAACATGAAATTAAATAAATAAATAATATTATTATTTAATTGTTTATACTTCGATTTATTAAATTAAACCAACAAGGCCGTGAACTCATACGAATTGTTTCTGCCCGCACCTTTCCGCTATTCGTTGTCTGCGGCGCAGTCTGCGCATATTGTTCTGTGCTCTGCATACTGAGTCTGCTTTGCGTGTTGATATCATAGGTTTTATTAATAGCAAATTAGAAATTATTATTAGCGTTACAATTATTTCAAATGACGCCTTTATTTTAAAATATAAACCTTTTAAAAGATGCTGTAGAACGGTAAATGTCTAAAACCAGACCAAATTTTAAAATTTTCCTGTACATAAAAGGATATACATTAAGGTGGTCCATCTTTTGAGAATTTTTGAATTTTCTTGCTCTCAGTTGCTGATAGTGTTTAAAATAAATAAAAAAAATATTTTCCAAGTTTCAAGTCCCTATCTCAATATTAACCCTTGCCACGTTGCAGTGTAAGTTTCCTATATACATAACAGGGTTTTCTGCATTGAATAATTAATTATTTATTTCGGCCAAAGTAACTTTTCAAAAAAATTTAAACTTGCCAGAATTTAACCTTGTAGCTATATATAGTAGCTATATAGTAGCTATTCCTAAGAATTTTTACAGATTTTTAGCTATAATTATTTTATATTATAACTTATTTCATTTTTTTAAACACTTACCTGATTGAAAAATTAATTACCTATTCAAAAACCACGTTATCCAGATAGGAAACTAACATTGCATTGCGCATGGGTTGACATTAAGATAGGAATTTTTTAACCTAAAATTTTTTTCGTTTTCCCAAAATAGACTTTGGGCGTGACACCCAAAAATTTTTTTGCCAGCAGCTTTTCCCGTATAAGGGCCCCTACCAGATTTTCGATACGGGGCCCCCTCGAGGCTAGCTACGCCACTGTATTTAAATCAATATAGGTATGAATATTCAATAGTAATAAGAATATACATACCTACATTTATTTAAATGGTCTTTAGAAAATATTGAAAATTATTTTAAATTTGGACAATTACGTTTTTCGAATAATTTCTGAGAATTACACCAAAAATTTAAAAATAACCGCGAAATAGGAAAAGGAACTAAATAAAAGTATTGATTATTGAAAGAGAGCACAGAGACAGATAGATTCTAGCGCTCTATGATTGGCTAACATAAAAGCCTGCGAAAGACGTTATTGAAGATGAATTAACTTTCTGCGACGTGTGACCTTGCTCCATCGCAACGTCGCTGGGTGCTTTGCGCATGCTTACGTTCTGCGATCTGCGTTCTGCGACAATTGTAGACCCGGCTTAAGAAACAACGTTTAAAACGATTAACCAATTTTCCCTAAAAAAAAGGATGTCTTAGGTTAAAACTAACCTAAAAACTAAAACACTGACAGTGACAATAGGTGCGTTCTTTTCGCCTGAGATCTCAGCTCACTTTAAGCCGGGTCTACAATTGTCGCAGGGGTCCGATCGCAGAATATAAGCTTGCGCAAAGCACCCCGCGACGTGGCGATGGATCAAGATTCTTTTGTCAGATGGGTGCTTTGCGCAAGCTTATGTTCTGCGATCTGCGACCTGCGACAATTGTAGACCTGGCTTTAGTTAATGTGATATGAGATGTAGTGATCTGAGTAAGCATTAAAAAGAACGACACACTCAATTGAAACGCGCAATCTGACGGCGAATACGTGAATAAGAGGCAACATCAAAGATTATCTTTGGGCAACATAACCTATCTCTGATATAATTATGTTCTGTGTCATATCCTTATGGTTTAAATTTCGTGTGATTCCCCCGCACAGCATGTGCAGTATCGGTGAGGGGGGAGGAAAAATCTCAGCTCACTTTATGGTGAGTGAAGCAAAAAGAACGCGCACATTTGCAAATTTTACCGATGTGAGTTGAGATTAACTGAGATCTCAGGTGAAAAGAACGCACCTATTGTCAACCATATAATTAAGGTCGTTTTACACTACGATTTTATAAAGAATTTCTAATATTAAGTTCTCCCACCTCTAATCATTCTTTTTAGTTTATTAAATGTGTGGGTAATTTTTAGCCAATTTTACTGTTTTAAAAACATTCTACTTTGAGGTGTTATTTATTTATTTATCAAACGCTTTAATATACTAGGCGGTAAACCAATTTAAAATCAGTGGTGGTCTTATTTTTCCTTATCAGTCGTTATCAATAAGGAAAAATCCTTATCAATAAGAAATTTCTCTTAGCGACGAGTTTAATTAAAAATTAGTTAATTTAGCGTTTCAAATATTCATAGCATTTCATTGTTACACAGGGTGTTATGTAATTCATGTAATATATTAAAATGGGTAGTTCCTTAGGATCCATAAAGATTCTTTATTAAAAAAGCACCTGAAACTTTTCTCTCTCTAAATTATAAAGACTACAGATAATTTATAATAACCTTTATCCTACCTATTTAATTTTAGAAAAAGCTCTGTAATTGCGAAAATTTCTTTAATAAATAAATAAATAAATAAAAAGTATGTCAATGATCGACTAGGAACTTTAGGCCAATCTGGTTGCCTAATTTAATTTATTATGATATGGTTGGTAACAACCAGCGTTTCCAGATTCTATCAAAAAAGTTGCCAAATTTAGTTTAAATTACAAAAATGACAAAATCAACAATGCAAATTGTTAGTTTGGCGTTTTTATTAATCAGGACAAGTAAATAAATACAGAAGGGTATTAGAGCTTTAAGGGCATAAAACATCATTTTATTGAGTTTTTATTTATTTTTTACAAGAAAAATTTTTAGTACCTAACATTTTTTTACAACTGGCAACTTTGTTGGTTGGTATCTATATACTCACAGAAGATAAGTGTGTAACCAGTGGCGTATCACAAAAAATATAAAAAACTTCTAATGCATATTTTTTCTTTATCTTTGGGAAAATATTTTTTTAAATATTTTTCTGTTACACCTTATGTCAAAAGGTATTCAGTATTTTAATATATTATATTAATTACATAACACCCTATTATCATGAAAAAAAAGGTAATATTTTGTCAATAAAATACAATGAATCCTTTGTTCTTATTAACATTTAATGCTTTCACAAATAATTTAACAAATTTACTTATATTTTTTGTTTAGTTTTATTCTTAGAAAAATTTATAATTTTAAACCAAATATGAGTTTTTCTCGAGGTTTTTCTTATAAGTTCATTTTTAACAATTTAAGTACTACTTACTCATATTTAAAAAATATAATATCAACAAGTAATGTTAACCTTTTGCTAATATTTCTATAAACAGTTTAAAATATTCATTACACAGCAAAAATAAAATAATGAGTTCTTAGTTCTTACCATGATTGCCTCTAATATCTAACCAAACAGTCTTTTCTTTAGCTTTAGTCTCATCTAAAATACCCCTGTAATGTTTCCATTCGTCCTCAAACTGCTCAGAACCTATGGCATCACTTGTCTTAGCATCCGTTAGATCGCCAGATGCTAAGACAAGACTAGGCTCGACAGCATTTACAGTGTAGTGACAGAACTCTCTGAACTGAGTAATCCTGCTTGGGTCCCTAAATATACTTATGTGAATGTCAGAGATCTAAAAATTAGGGTGTTTAATGCCTTAAAATAAATAGATTATGTTATGGATTACCTGTAAAAACCATATCAAGTGGTCAAACGAATCGCCAACTTGTATAAAATCATCGTTGGAGAAATCTTTGGCTGCAAGAGCATCGGTACTCAGTAAATTTAAAACATTGGCAAGGAATATTGATAACAATATCATTGATATGAAAATTCCTATGGTGGATTTTGATACTCTCATATTTCAACGTTGAATACTACCATGACGTCGACCGCACTGTGTTTTGGTTATATAAAATCTACTAACAATAGTCAAAAATTCCGAGAATTTCAATTTGTTTTGGTGATCACAGCGATTACATTTGACAACTGATTGACGTTTCGGTATTCTAACCTCAAAATATTTAAGAAAAACAGTTACAGGAATCTGTTTTGACGTAGTTGGTTTTACTATTCATTCATAGATGCTAACTAAATAAAAATTAAATTTTTATTTTATTTATGAATATTCAATGCAACTTTATTAAAATCTTGATAAAACAGCTTAAATAATAAAATTAATAACTTTATAATAATCATTTATGTGCCTTTAATAATAATTATTAACAATCATTTTGGGCAAATTTAAATTATAAAATATACAAGTGTTTGTGTACCTACTTAAAACGTTTTATAAATTGCTCCATTTAAGTATGGGTAGGTAGCTTTTGTTCTAATTTTACCAAATAACAGTGTAATTTAGACCACCTACACTTTATTAATAATGACTCAATAAGAAATTAACGTATTGTAACCTACTAAATATTCTAAAGTTAAAAAAAATAGAGAAAAACTAAGTAAGGAAATTAATTTAAATAAACAAATTAACAAACAAACAAATGAAACTGGTGGTTTTAAATGTAGGTAAATGGGTTTGGAAAACTATTAACAAAACATAATACTGATTTGATTAAAACAAGTTTAAATTTAATCATTTGTGAATCAATGGGTTAAAAATATCAACCAACAATATCCGTGCATTGTATACCAATAATTATCTAATCATTCGCAAAATAAAACAGGTCTGGATTATCAGAAATTGCTTAAGGCAAAAATGCAGTTTTTTTTAAGAAATTTCAGATTTAGGGATATGTTGCCAGATGTAAAAACATTTACATTGATATCCCACTGGGAAAGAAACATTGCTGCAATGTTCGCCGACTTTACAAATAAAATATTTCCTGTGCTACTTGCATTAACATAAATGAAATGTTACATTTGAAATATAGCATAATAATTTCCAACAATTGTTGGTTAACCTTAAATTTGAAACATTGTTTAAACATTCACATGGAAAGTTTTTGCAATGTTAAATTTGTAACATTTAAATACTATAATTAGTATAAAATGTTGCATAAAAGTTTTTAAACATTACAATTATAATACTGCAGACATAACTTTCTTTCAATATTTAAACATTGCATTCAATTGAAATATGTATTAACACAACTTTCAAATGAAAAATGTTTGCAACTTTAATTTAAATATACAATAGAATCATTTATTTATTTTGGAATGTTTGGGAATATTTTTGAAACATTTCAAAATTGCAATGTTTCAAAAATCGTATAGGTATAAATATAATTTTATAATTAATTACATTGATAAGTTTTGGGCAATGTTTCATCCGAAATATTATATTAAGATGATTTTTGCAATGTTGCTTTATATAAACAATACCTATAAACATTTAATTAGCAAGATTTTTAGAACCTTGTAACTATAATTTTACATTTATAATTATAACTTTATTTTTGTTCAATGTTTCATCCAAAATATTGCATTAAGATAATTTTTGCAATGTTGTTTGCAGACTGACTTGTCGATGCATCTCGCCGCTCTCCTGGTCATTTATATCTTTATAAGTGAACAGTGCCGAGCTTGATGCGTGTCTCCCGTCACCGACTGCCTGACACTGATGAGACCCAACAGGTCGAAACAGGCTGTCTGTCAGTGTTGGTGGGTATGGTGCATTAGTCATTGGACCATGCCATTCGGGAGACGCGCTTGCGATATTGGTTGCCTACTACTCAGCGTTGCCAGTGCCAGCTTTTGTACTGAAATCAGTACTTTTTAAGGTCTGTCAGTACGTCAGTGCTACTTTCATAGTGTCAGTACGTTTTGCAAAATTTCCTTCCCAACCAAAAAAGTTAAAACTTAAACAAATGTCAAAAATACGTATATTAAAGAAAAAACTACTTTTTATTTTGAATTCTTAAATCTTAAGATTAGGTTTAATTAAACTAAAAAATGTCATGATTCCTGCAAGGTCCAGGTACCTATAACATCGTAAAAATGAGCTTAAGGTAAAATAATCTCGTCCATAAAGGCCTATGTTGTTTGCCATCTGTAATATAAAATACAATCCCAATTAATTTTTGTAATGTAATGTTCCTGAGTCGGACAAAAGGCTTTGTTGCAATTTTCCTGCAACATTAATGGCAATTGCCACAAGGATTTTTGTAACATTACACCTAACAAATGTAACGTTCAGTAACATTGCACAAATTTGTTATTAATATTATCTTTCCCAGTGGGATATCCCATATGCAACCAATTATACATTAAAATAATTAATTCAAATGTTATATGGTAATTTAACTATTTTATATAGGTCCTAAAGGTCTACTTTTTAAAATGTACTTTTCAAGATATACCTACCTACTTGATAAAAATAATTAAATGTTATTAATAAAAGTATTTCTTAAGAAAAACTTTTTAATTAAACTCTATTTAATTATTGTGTTAAAAATAACTCAATATAATCTGCTTCAATTCAGCTTTGGAACTTAAATGATTTTTAAATTATACTAATACTAGATTTAAATTGCGGAAACCCTAAATTGTGAACGTTGCTGCATGAGGGCAGCAATTACTTTCAATATTGCTGTCCACCTACTGTTTCATGGCAGCAAAAGTGACCGAAACAATAATGGCTCATAAACTTGCATTTATTATTGAATAGTTGCAATATTTTTAGAAACCATATAGCATTTCTGTTATCCAATCCCGCCCAAATTTCCCTGAGCAATAAAAATTAACCCATAGGTTAACTAAAATATATTTTATGAGTTAACTAAAAAATATTTTAGTAAGTGAGCAAAAAAACAAATTAAAAACGAATTAAAAGCAATTATGTATGTAGAATACTAGAATTTAACCCAATTTTAATTTCTTATTAGGTAGGTACTACTTATTTTTTTCGGTTATTTTTTTTTGATAAAATTTATAAAAATAGTAACTAAATATAGTTTTTTTGTACAAGTCACAAATAAAAACAACTTATTGTTGATTCTCTAATTTCCTATAGTTTTTACATTGCAATTTTTAATTTACATTCGTAACCTGTCATCGCTGGTAATTAGTTCCTAGCCCACCTCTGTTTATTAAGCATCATTAGCGTTAAAGTAAAAAAGAACGTAATTCAATATAATGCCTTCTAAATCAAGTTTAACTAGGAGCGCTCTTACAGCAGTGTAATATACATTACTTACGTATACGTGAGGCGTAGATCTTTATTTTTACTTATGAATTGGTGATTTTATTGCAGCCACTTCCGCGTTAAGGACGATTTTTTAAACTGTGATAAAATGTTCGGTGATAAGTTGGGTAGTGCTGTAATTATATGTGTTTGTTTTTGTGTAGTTAACTGTTATTATGTGGATGACAATCTTCCCACTTATTTGACAGGTGCTGTGGGAGACTACATGATTTTTAATTGTGAAATTGATTTCCCGCAGAGAATACCAATACCCTATAAATTAATATGGAGACGAGGAGTAAGTTTTTATTACAAAATTTAACAAGACGTGTTGGTAATAAATAATTGTCTATTTTATTTATTATTTCAACAAACGTTATATCATTTTAATGGTGCAAAACGTTAGTACTCCTGGCGAGGGGAATTAACCATGTAAATAATAAAAACGAAATAGGTAGTTCTTTAGTCAATTGATGGGTTATAAAACAAACATGCTAGTATATGACCATGCATGAGGGGTACAACTTTGGACCAATGTTTGGGACTTGCGTATGGGTTTTATTTGACATTTAACGTGTACTAAAGATTTTATTAAATTATACAAACTATTTTATATCTACCTGCAATTTAATATAGGACAAACTAGATATCTCATAGTAATGTAGGTAATACGATATGGCTGTGAAAATATATTTTAATAAACAAAATGAATATACAAAAATCAATTCTATTGTTGTATTAAAATGTCTTATACATGTGTAACTGCAGTTATTATTATATAACCAGAGCTGTTCCGAGTAAAAGTACAAGTACTTTAAAAAAATACAAAAAAATTCAAAAGTACTCACGAGTACAAGTATAAAGTACTTTTTCAAAAAAAAATTTAAAATGTAATTTAGGTTTCAGTATCTAGCAAAAAAAGTTGTTAAAAGTTAAACAAAACAAAATATAAGGTTTAGGTCAATAGGGATATTTAAAAAAACTGCATTTTTATATTTCTTTAATACACGTATGTATTTATGATTTGATTTTTTTTTTTGCAAATAACCAATTATTTCGATTTTAAACAGAAAAAAATAATATTAAAATAGATTAACTATTCTCTTACATATAACCCTTATTACCTATAGGTATACCTATTCATGCAAATAATTTATTATATCCTAAACATTATTTAAATGCAAGCACGAAATTAAATTAAAGTAACATGCATTTATGACTGCAAAAAAAAAAAAGATTGAATGCAAAAATATAACCTATTTTTTTAAGCGTACCAAATATATCAAAAACTTAATCTAGTAGGTAATCAAATACAAAATAATATTTAAAATCTTACTTACGACAGTATAACAAAAACCAAAATACTTAAAATAATACAAATGCAGATTCTGTATTGCAGAATAATCTCAAATTTCTTTAAAAAAAAACCGTTACATCTGACATTATGACGGCACTACCAGTGATAAAAACGATACCATATCGAGGATTTATTCCGAATGCCTAGTACAAAAAGTACTCGAGTACAACAAATGTACCCGTGTCCATGTTTACATTTTTAAATTAAATAAGTACAAGTACTTTTTTTTTAAATGTACTCTGGACTGAGTACTGAGTATTAAAAAGTACTTAAAGTACAAAATTTGAGTACAAGTTCTCGAGTACCGCACAGCTCTGTATATAACTATAGATATAAAAATAATACAAAAAGTTGCAAACATGGCGAATGTGCCGGGTTAATAAATATACAGGGTGGTCCAATATTTACTTAATAACCTTTAATAATTTAAGAATTAATATAAAACATTAAAATAATATGAATTTTCTTAATAAACTACAACAAATGTACTAGTGTCCATGTTTACATTTTTCAATTAAATAAGTACAATAGACTGGGCCAAAAAAATTGACTATTTTTTTTTTTTGAAAAATATATCGAGAATGTCATTCAGAATGACAAAAAAAAAATTTCGTGAAAATTTGAGCCCTCAATATTAATTTTAAGAGGTCTATCATCGCTATTTTTGATTTTTAGTCATAATATGATGTTTTACGTTGGAACTGTCAAAACAATAAAGTGAAAAAAATTCCTTGTCACTTATTTTTATAAAAAATTAAATTCTCTACAAAAAAGGTCTGATTGAAAATTTTCGCCAGACGAGCCGTTTCCGTGTAATTGAGCTTAATAAATCGATGTGTTTTTTCGATTTGCCCTTTTTACTTTGAAATTTTGTAACTAATGAATCAATGAATATTTAAAAAAGCTCACGTCGGATTCTTAAAGGAAATTTAATGTTCTACAAAAAAGGTCTCGGAACATTTTTGCCTAAATTTAATTCTTCAAAAGTTATTCACGAAGAAAAAATTGAAATTTTAAGTTTTTCTTCGATTTTAATCGTGAATAACTTTTGAAAAATTAAATTTAGGCAAAAATGTTAAGAGACCTTTTTTGTAGAACATTAAATTTACTTTAAGAATCCGATGTGAGCTTTTTTAAATATTCATTGATTCATTAGTTACAAAATTTCAAAGTAAAAAGGGCAAATCGAAAAAACACATCGATTTATTAAGCTCAATTACTCGGAAACGGCTCGTCTGACGAAAATTTTCAATCACACCTTTTTTGTAGAGAATTTAATTTTATATAAAAATAAGTGAAAAGGAATTTTTTTCACTTTATTATTTTGACAGTTCTAACGTAAAACATCAAATTATGACTAAAAATAAAAAATAGTGATGATAGACCTCTTAAAATTAATATTAAGGGCTCAAATTTTCACGAAATATTTTTTTTGTCATTCTGAATGACATTCTCGATATATTTTTCAAAAAAAAAAATAGTCAATTTTTTTGGCCCAGTCTAAAGTACAAGTACAACTACTTTTTTTAAAATGTTCTCTGGACTGAGTACTGAGTACATAAAAAGTACTTAAATTACAAAATTTGAGTACAAGTTCTCGAGTACCGCACAGCTCTGTATATAACTATAGATATAAATATAATACAAAAAGTTGCAAAAATGGCGAATGCGCCGGGTTAATAAATATACAGGGTGGACCAATATTTACTTAATAACCTTTAATAATTTAAGAATTAATATAAAACATTAAAATAATATGAATTTTCTTAATAAACTACAACAAATCTGCCGTGCTTAATAAAAACGCCGTAACCAACAATTGTGCGATTTTTGTTTTACGGCATTTTCTACTAGAAAAATTCATCCTGCGTCTATCCCCGGTACTCAAAAAACCTTATCTACAGTATGTCCACGGATAGAGGGCCCAAGAGGACAAATGGACTAAAATTTTAATTTTTCGACCAAAAGTCATTCTTTATAAAAAGTTCTGCTTGTGTTGAAAAGTCTATTGTTATACTTTAAATTTGAAAATATTATACAGGGGGGTCGAAAAAAAAGAAAACATGAAATACTATCAAGAGTAACTACCTTTATTTTTCATTTTGGAGCAAAATGATAAATAAAAAAAGATTTTAAATCCTATCCAAAGACTATTTGTAAAATTTTAACTCAGTATTCCAAATTTTATTTTTTACTTTTAAAGTTCTAAAATTAAATTTTTATACTTGTGTACCTTAATTTCACGTATTCTTTACCTATGCATGACAAAAAACTGACACAGTCTTAGATATTAATTTTAACATTTCTTATTCTAAATATGTCAAGATACAATATCCGTATTGTAAAGTTAGGCAAATATTTTATTAAAAAAAGTTGTTCATAATGTCAGGAAAAAAAAACTTTATAACAAATTGAGCATATAAAATTATCCTATTTATTCAAAAACCCCTCCACCGTATTCGACGCATTTCTCAAACTGCCGTCTAATGTGACCATAACTTCTTATCTCTTCAAGTGAAATCATTTGAACTGACTCTGAAATCCTTTGTTTAAGAATATCGATATTATTTTCAATCGGTTGGTGATACGTTAATTGCTTCAAACGACCCCAAAGAAACGCATCAGCAATTGTGAGGTCCGGACTCCTCGCAGGCCACACAATTGGTCCATTTCGGCCAATCCATCGATCTCTAAATTTATTGTTTAGCCATTCCGTGACTTCGCGAGCATAATGTGCAGGGCAGCCGTCTTGTTGAAAGTACATTTGTCCACGGTAGTGTAATGACAGCTCATCCAGCTTGTCCGAAAGAAAAGTTTCCAACATTTCCATGTATGAATTCCTATTGCATGTATCCTCAAAAAAATATGGTCCCATTATCCCATAATATGTAATGCCACACCAAACGTTAACTTTTTTAAGATATTGCCGACGTGCAGGAATTCTGAATTCTGGATTTTCAGTGCTCCAGTATCGTACGTGTTGGGAAGCTACCGTACCATTTGTGGAAAAAGTGGATTCGTCGGAGAATAAAATAAGTTTGTGAAACTGATTATTTTCATTTAAAATTTTGTCCCCTATCCACAAACAAAAATCTAGTCGTTTTGCTTGGTCTCCATCTTCTAGAGCTTGATTAAAATGTGGTTTATATGGAAAAAAATTGTTGGCTTTTAATATTTTTTGAATTTGACTTTTTTGGACCAACTGTAAATTTTGAGCTCGTTTTCGTAACGACAGAATAGGGTTTTCCACAACAGACTGCAAGAGGACAACTGTAGCCGCATCATCCTCGTCAAAAAGTTTCTTCTTCTTTTTAAAATTATCCACCGACCCAGTGTTCTTGAATTTTTTAACCAGTTGACGAATTCCATGTATTGAAACTGAAACCCCTGAAAATTTTTCAACAAATCGTTCTTGTACATATCTGTATGAACGGTCGCCAGTTCCATAACACTGCACCAAAAATATTTTTTGTTCAATAGTTAGCATTTTGAAAATATTTTATAAAACGAAATTTATAATCTAAGACTGTCACTGTGGCATTTTTTGTCATACATAAGTAGGCTTTCCAACTGCTGTCAAAAAAATCCCGAGGGGTAAACCACTCTAAAATCAGCGAGACCAACGTTCAACATTATGTGGACGTTACGCTATGATTTCTCCTTATTCGACCATTATCAATTGTTATCAATACGGAAAAATCCTTATGAATAAGAAATTTCTCTTAGCGACACGTTGCTATGACTTCCCTTGTGATTTTTTCCTTAGACGTTAATTCGTATGCGATTTATAATTTTTTAAAATCAGTGGTTTACCTACCTCGAAAAATCCAGTAAATTTACAAAAATGACACAATCAACAATTATCAAGTAACGTAAATTTAACAATTTGCATTGTAGCATTGTTTATTTTTGTAATTAATGTAAATTTTCACAAAATAACCAGGTAAAGGAAACGTAAAATGGGGTACAAAAGTATAAATTAGAAATTAAATTTTAAGAAAAATAAAATTAGGAATACTGAGTTGAAATTTTACAATTGGTCTTTGAATATGATTTGAAATCCTTTTTTATTTGTCATTTTGCTCCAAAACGAAAAATAAAGGTAGTTTACTCTTGATAGTATTTCATGTTTTCTTGTTTTTCGACCCCCCTGTATAATATTTTCAAATTTAAAGTATGACAATAGACTTTTCAACACAAGCAGAACTTTTTATAAAGAATGACTTTTGGTCGAAAAATGAAAATTTTAGTCCATTTGTTCTCTTGGGCCCTCTATCCGTGGACATACTGTATATATATACAGTTTTTTGAGTACCGGGGATAGACGCAGGATGAATTGTTCTAGTAGAAAATGCCGTAAAACAAAAATCGCACAATTGTTGGTTACGGCGTTTTCATTAAGCACGGCAGAAATGTACTCGTGTCCATGTTTACATTTTTCAATTAAATAAGTACAAGTACAACTACTTTTTTTTAAATGTTCTCTGGACTGAGTACTGAGTACATAAAAAGTACTTAAATTACAAAATTTGAGTACAAGTTCTCGAGTACCGCACAGCTCTGTATATAACTATAGATATAAATATAATACAAAAAGTTGCAAAAATGGCGAATGCGCCGGGTTAATAAATATACAGGGTGGACCAATATTTACTTAATATCCTTTAGAAATAAAACGTTAAAATAATATGAATTTTCTTAATAAACTTTTATTAAAAACTTTGTGACCAGTGACGTCCCGTGACATTTCATTTTGGTGAGGCAGAGGCAGGGTTTCGCCCTCATTTTTTAAACCCAACCTAAAAAAAACTGACGTCGCAGTTCACAACCTATACTTAAAACTAAGTAAAAAACTTAGACTGTGGTGGGGAAGGAATCCTCTACTTTGTCAATGAAATATATTTTATTGTAAAAATGACGTTTATTTTAAATAAACCTCATTTTTGTCTAATTAATATTTCATTGTTCAGCAAGAACCACGTGAAGGTCAACAATATCGGTACAATTTCTCACCGTAATATCCATAATGACTAAATTCACATAAATCACCAAGTTCAATTAACTAAACCCACATAATAAACCACTTAGAAAAGAATCATAAAATAGACAAACTCATATATAGAAAAAGAATAAACAAAATATTGCTTAAATAACCACAGATTTGGTCTTTAAACAGTTCAGAATTTTATAAACAAAACAAACCTAAAGAAGGAATCTGTATTTATTTTATTGGTTACTGTGATGGCTACAAGATGGCGATAGTGTTAAAATATGTTTATTTTAGAATAGAAATATAATTTCGATTAAATCGATTTATTATAAGAAAAATAATACCATTTATTATTGAATTTTGAAAAACGTGTGAAGTATAATTTATCTAAAATTCCGCAACAGTGTTGCCACAACACCTCCTTATTTCCTTGGATGTAGGCGTGCCTGCCTCGCGTATGCAAATACGAGAGAAGGAGACAACTATGACATCGCATTGTAATAGAACGAGACAACAAGGCTAACGCCAATCGTGAGTCTAAATTAGTTCAGGCATGCTTCTAAGCCAATCTAGCTATAAATATTAGTTTAAATTGCGGTCGTTTCAAATTCAAATAATTTAAATGTTGCTGGGTATTCCACGTATAAAATCAATCAATTTTATTGACTATTTCACAATTCATGTAATCCAAATATTAAAAATTTATAGTATATTATAGAAAGTAAAATATTTAAATTATACTTCATTTTTGAATTCTCTATGATGAGGCACTGCCTCACCTGCCTCCCCTGACGCGCCGCCACTGGTTATGACAATAAACGATCCTAAGCAGCATTTTAAGTTTAAATAACTTCAAATTTACTACTAAGTGAACTTTAAAGTATTTTTTACGTTTAACGAAAACTGTATAGATACGAAAAATTACCAAATTTGGGGAATGGTTTATTTCGATATTTTACCTACATAATAACCTTTTTGATTTACTAAGAGAATAACGTAATAAAAACAATATAATTACCACATATTTACGTAAAAATAAATCTATAATTATTAACTGTTTGCTCTCTCTTTCTAAAACATTGACATTCGTAATTTCTTTGTTCTTTTAATTTATATTTTACAAAATGGTACTTACAAAGTAATAAAGGCCACCCTAGAGTAAAATTAAAAAATATAACTTAAATTGTCAAAACCAATAATATTTTGCTTTAAAACTCAAACGCACATTATTTTATTGATAAAAATAGGCACGATACATCTTAAAAATTATATGCCCTCTAAATATTTTACGGTTTTAAAAAATTATTAAAAATTCAACAAAACCTATAACCTACAAAATTTTATAAAATCCCTTAAAAATCATTTATCATTTTTTAATAACTAAAACTTCCCTATTTTAGAAAAATATTATATAAATGTTTAGATAAGTAATGGATGCCATCTTAAAAAACTCATTATGGTGACCTGAAAAAAAATTTTCCTTAAAGATTTATTTTTCAATTTAAGCTTATTTTTCCTTGTTTAATAACCCTAAAAAATACCAGGCGAATAGGAATTATTTACGGTTATAAAGTGGTCTTAATATCGTAAAATTATGACTTCTGAGTAACATTTACCATTACGTAAAAATTCTGACGTTAAAATTACCTTTAAATTTTCCTTTAGGTGAAATACACTTATAAGTAATTTTCTTTAGTACTTTTACTTCAAAGTAAATTTTTAAGGTTAATTTAACAAAATATTTACTTAAAGTAAGTAATATTGTCTTAAAGCTCTACGCTTTTACTTAAAATGCTGCTTGGGATTTGACAAATGTCACCACTGACATATATTTGACTATGAATTGTATCTAACCATGTCTCTATAGGAGGAAGTAATTTATTCCTGGCAAGAAGGAATAGTGACGGAATCGGACGACTATGTCGGTAGAATCCACCTCCTCAACCGCGGTTTCCAACAATACCAACAATACGGAAAAGCGTCCATTAACCTAACATCAATACGCGAATCAGATGCCGGCTGGTTCGAGTGCAAAATTGAGTACCCAAACAGAAACCCCAGCAGTAGAAATAATGGCACTTGGTTCCATTTGACAGTCAGCGGAGGAAACCTACTGGCTATACCACCGATCAATAGAACCGTCATGGAAGGTGACGAAGTGCAGTTTGATTGTCTACCCAAAGACTTTTCAATTAAAATTAGATGGTTGAAGGATAAAATACCTCTATCTGAATACCACGATTTAGTGCAAAGATCATGGGTTACCAAGGAAAACACGTTGGTGATTCACCCAACAGATTTGGGTGATTATGGAGAATATGAATGCGAAGCTTCCAATGATATGGGGGAGAGGCAAACCACGCGAGCTTTTTTAAATGTACAATGTAATAACTATTTTTTTTAGTTTAAAGATATTTGCCATTACAAAATGTTCTTTTTTCAGACAAAGCTAAAGTTATATACGCTCCACCAGAAATATATCTACCATTTGGAAGACCAGCTCTTATAGATTGCCATTTCAGAGCGAACCCGCCTTTAACAAATCTAAGATGGGAGAAGGATGGATTCCTTTTTGACCCCTACAATATACAAGGCGTTTTTTACAGGAAAAATGGAAGTTTGTACTTTAGTAAAGTGGATGAAAGTCATACTGGGAAGTAAGTACCCACTTTTAAAAGAATTTAATTATTTGATGATATGCATATATATTTTTAGATATAGTTGTACTCCTTACAATGAGTTGGGAACGCAAGGACCATCCCCAACGATGAACATCATAGTTCAAAGACCTCCTGTATTTGTGAGCACCCCACACAACCTCTACCTAAGAAAATTAGGCGAAAACATTGAAATACCCTGCGACGCAACCGATGGTCAACATGGTCATAAACCCATCATTGTTTGGTACAGGGTAAATACACTAAATTAAGCTAAATACTCTTTTAATACACAACATTTTAGAAAGATGGTTCTTCCCTCCCAGTAGGCCGCTACAGCATCAAGGACGGCAACCTAACAATAACAAACATTGAAGAACACGACCGAGGTCTCTATCAATGTTCGGCTACAAATAAAGCTGCAACTATCACAGCTGAAACTGAGTTGTTGGTGGAGAATATACCCTCCAGCGCTCCATACAATCTTACAGCTGTTTCCAGTCCCTATTCAGTACACATATCATGGTTGGCTGGAAGGCAACGAGCTAATATCGATTTCAGTGTTTGGTATAAGTCTGTGGATCAGACTGAATGGAAGACCTATCCTGTGCCCTCTATAAGGACTCTTGAAGCTACCATCATCAATTTGCATCCAGGTAGGAGTTTCTGCTTTCATCTTTTAGGAAGATTCTTTAAAGCGTGATATAAACTTTCAGATACTGAATACGAATTCATGGTACTATGCAAAGACGACAATGGAGATGGTCTCTTCAGTAAATCTCTAAGAGTTTGGACTAAAAGTGAGGATGGTGATAAGGAACCTTTTAAAACCTCCTATATGCCCCCCATTGGTTTCCCAAGAAACGTTACAGTTGTTACGAAAGACGATGGTTTGTTAGTGAATTGGGAAAAACCTGAATATGGGTTCGAAAATTTGAAACGTTACATAATAAGATGGAGCCAAGGTCCAGATGAATACATTTATGGATCTGATGATACTACTGAAACACACTATCTAAGTAAGCAAGCTTTTTTCAATCATTATTAGAAATAATGAGGATATTCTTTTAGTCACTAACCTTCTGGAAGGAAACGAGTATGACATCCAAGTCATAGCTTTATCCCTGGACGATCAACAAGGTGTCTCCGAAAAAGTAAGAGCAGTGTTTCCTGGTTACAAAAGCATCAAAGCAGTATCTACTGGCATTATAGCGGGATTAGCATTTTTGACAGCTGCATTCCTTACTGTTTTGTATATCAAAAGGAGGAAATCCCGAAACGATGCTGCGAGCAATTATACGAAAAGTGTTAAGAGTTAAAATAAGTTTGTATATTTTGTATTAAATTTTGTAGTGGTGATAAAAAAATAAAGCTTTATGTATGATTGTTATATTTTAGCTTTAGTAATTTATATGCAATTATATATTTCCCAATTTCTTACTTAAAAGTATACGAAATGTAAATATTAGCTTGGGTTATTTGGAGATTATTGGATATTTTAATAAAACTAATTTTTAATAATAAACTGTTTTTACTTAAATAAAACCAAGTTGGCTTCAAAAGCAGTTCGTCTTGAGACATTATAAGATGCAGACGCGCAAGCGATCAGGGGCGGACCGTTGACTTTGGGGGCCCTGGGCTAAAAATCTTTGTGGGCCTATCAATAATTATATATGTACAGACAACAAAACAACAAATTTCAAATTCAAAATTAAAAAACAAGTAAAAAATTACACTTATTTTGTATAAAATTAATGAATAACAAATAAACCCTTCTAGGATTATAAAAGGTGTCGGGATAAGACCTGCTCTCTAAAAATGAAACAGTGGATTTTCACTGATTGACAGTGCATATTAACTATTTGCCGCAGTGATAAGTATACCACTAGCAATTAGTGAATACTCACTTTTTCATGTAGCGATTTCTTTGCACTAATTTATTTAGTGGAAATTACACTGTACAAATTAGTGAAATAGGTTTAGTTCAAAAAAGTTAAAATTTCACTATTTTATGTCGAGAGTTCCGGAAAGTAGTAATAATAAAAAACACTAATTTGGAGAAGTTAAAATTTCACTAATTTATATTGAAAAACACTAATTTTACAGTGAATAATAACTCACTGGCGGAAATAGTGAAAATTTCACTGTTTCACTTTTAGAGAGTGTCCAATGCAATTCTTGGTTTAAAATATTTCGACTTAACCCAACTCACCCAAATAAAAATTGCTTTGTTTAGCTGCTAGCTACATTTATAATATGTAAAAAAGATTATTTTATATTGCAGTATCGACTATTTTTTTTCTATAAAATTTAATAGCCTCATAAGCCTGTTAAAATATCACCCATTAATATTATTGGTTGGTATTTGCGATTTTACATTTAAAGTAAGTAGGTATATGAGATTTTTTTATTTTAGAGTTATTTCACTCGTTAACGGATTAATGGATGATTATAACTTTTATTTTATAAAACTAAAGGCTCCACAATAAAGTTTACTTATTATTTTATGATAAATATACTCGTTAAAAAAATATTTAGGACAAATTCATAGCAAATTTTATGTTTTTCTTACTTTCCCGGAAAAAACATCACATTTTTTGTAGATCATTTTATTTTTTATAAAAATATGTAATTATTTTTTTAATGGTTTAACCAGTTTAAATACAAATATTTTTTTGCGATAAAATTGATAAATTTTTTTTAATTAATTAGTATTTAAACAGAAATATTAATTTAGTTTAAAAAATTACACAATTTTCTGACAAATTAAATGATCTAACAAAGTCCTATAACGTTTTATTATTAGTCTGATAGTTTTAGCGGAGAAGTAAGAAAAAGTTTAAATTTATCATAATTTTTAGCTTAAATAATTTGACCAGGTAGATTTATTAAAAATAATAAGAGACATTTTTGTTGAGCATTTACTTTAAATAATCTATAAGAATAATATTTTTAATTTTAATTAATTAAATAATTTTTAATCTTTTAATTTCATTAATTCGTTCAAAAGATATATTATTTTTAAAGTAATTTTTTTCATGCTATTTAAATCAAAAATAGAAAATCGCGATGACGGGCCTCTTAATAGTAATATTAGGATCTTAAATTTTAACAGGCTTAATATTTTACCTTTATGCAACTATTAAATAGTCGATTTTTTAATCAGTCTAATTTATATATTTTTAATTTGCATCGCGTTGGGGGGCCTCGATCGGACGGGGCCCTGGGCTGCAGCCCATAATGCCCATGCCTAAATCCGCCCATGCAAGCGATCGCTTCTAAAGAGTGAGAAAGTAATAAAAGCCTATCAGTTACAATAAACCGGTCACAGTATACTATATATAGTTAAGCTTGTTAGGCATTTTAAGTGTCCGAAATTAGAGCTAACGGCCAATACCTGTGCAGGTAAATCAAGGTACCTGTCTCCCGATGTCTTACAGAATCAGCAAAGCGCTAATTAGCGTATTAATACAGTAGTGCAGTGCAATATAACAAGTGCAGAATCTATGAAATCAGTTACACTACCTGTACAGGTGAACTCAATTTACCTGCCTCCCGAAGGAACCAAAAAGAGGGTCAAGTGGTCAGTGGCAACAAAAGATAAGTTCAATAGCTTTAATCCGCAAGAGGTTAAGCGTCTTCAACGCATCCAAAGCATGAAAACAAAACAGCCAAACAAGAAAAATAAAATTTCCACAGGACAGCAAACGTAATTATTCGTAATATAAATCGGTACGTGATACGTAAACATAAACAAAAAGTCAAATGCAGTCACATAGACAACAACAAAAACTTGCCAACACACCAATATTAGAATAAGTCTATAATAAGTCTTCATTGAAGTAAAGCTAAGGTGTATATATAAGTATACATACTTTCCTTAACAGATAATTTTCGCTAAAAAAACTATTGTTAACTGCCGATTACCGAAAACTATCTATCGATAGTTTTCGACCCTAGACTGAAGAAATGGTTTCGCACAGTGAGGCAAACAATTGCGGACTGCAGTGCCCGAACTTTTAACACCTGGTTTAGGGGGATTCCGGATTGTACTCAGTTTTGGGTCAGTCCAATGCCCCCCAAAAACCAAAATGTTTTTCCTCCTTATCCCGCACTCCACTAGCCTAAATCGGGCGTATGGCCCGGGCCGGCGACAAAATTCCGGGAGAGGCCTTAACCATCGAAACTGCCATCCACGATCGCCTGAGAGTGATTTACCAGCCGGGTGAAAATTCGTATCCACCAAACAAAGGTAATGCTGTGCAGTTGCGGGATACGTATGAGAACTGTTGTTGTCAAAAGAATCATTTGTTTTACGAGTAAAAAAAAGAAGATTACGTAAAATATTTTTTTATTTAGTCAAAAATTAGGTCATTTCTGTTTCCATCTGAGGTATCAAATTGTGCCTTCTGTAAGGTTTACTGCCAATCCAGCTTAATATGACAGGCAGTAAAACAACCCCATGAAAGAGTCCAAATAAAATTACCAAAAAAAAAATCTAAAATTAATAAAAAACACTTATAAATAACTTTTAAATGAGTTCTCCAAAACGTACCTTGAAGAACGCTCTAAAAGTATAAGCATCGGACTGACTCAACATAAAAACTCCAATCAACGTAGACAACCCGCCATACAAAACAGCGGAACCGATGGTGCTCACAGTCTCCAGCGCTCTTTCTGTTCTTGAACCACTGCGTACGGTCAAAAAGGTATGACCTATATGGGCGGCATAATCAACGCATAAACCAATGGCTAACTCTAGGCCAATGCAAGAGACTAGGTCTATGGTTAAGCCCCACCTTTGCATAAAACCACACACGTTAACCATGGTGATCAAAACGCACACGAATATCCAGAAGCAGACCTGCCAGTCTGCTATTAGGAGGATGGTGCATCCCATAACGCAAGCCAAGGCTAGTTGGAGATTTCTTATTACTTCTATATCAATTACCTGCAGTAAGATGAGATGTAAAGGTACTTTAAGTAAGGACTAGCTTACCTCATCTGTAATCCACGTGGCAAAAATCTTAGACCAAACAGTGGAAAATTTATCGCCTGTAGTGAAATTGGATGTGTTCGGTATATTTCTCACTTGGTGCATCACAGGGATGAATTCGCGTGGGTGCGTGAAATGTTTGAAGTTAAACTCGATACTAGACATCTGGATTGTAGGAGCTGGAACTCCACATTCGAGTTTTCTCTCGAACTGGAAATTGGCTTGATATAAAGCGGTTCTAGGGCTGAATAGGAATTTTGATAGGAAGATATTAAACCTATCTTCATCTAGAGATTCATTGTAAATGTCTAAAATATCATCAAATTAAAAAAAATGCGTTTAAATTGTACCTAGTTAGTACCATGATGATAGTTATCAAATACAAAATCCCTAAACGGGTCGACCCACGATATAACATTGGTGGTAATATTGGTCATGGCTTCCAAATCATCCACCATTCTTTTTATGTTATTAATTTCGTGGGTGTAGTTAATGGATCCTAAATACAACCCTGCGTTAAACCCATAGGAAGGGTAGAATTGTCTTTTCACTTCGATATATTTGGCTAGATGAGTTTCCTCTGGAACAAACCAGTTTGGGTCGAAATGTTTTTCCAGTTTAAAGGAACTTTCGATGCTAAATCCTAGGCAGATTATTGTTATAAGTATTACTACTAGCTAAAATAATAAACAAGTAATAGACATAAAGGAAATTAAATTCCCAATAGGTACCTTGCCAGGTAAGGTGAAGATTACTTTAGAGTACACAGCCTTAAAAACTTTGTTTGTGTAGTTAATTTGGCTGCACTGATTGGGAACAAACTTTTTTTGTTGAACACAAATAATATTTTTCCCTGCATCTATCCTTTCCTGATCTAATACTAAACAGGCAGTGAAGAAAGTCATCGAAAATACATAAATCATAAGTACTGAGAAACCCGCGTATATGCAAAAAGATTGCAGACACGGTAGTATCTACAAATAAAAATATAAATTTTTACAGGGAAATGTTGATGAAGGTTTAAATACAGTTGATGAACCGATGATGAATGCCACCACATCTGTTATAGATGTGACCGTTATAGAAACACCAGCGTGTTTCAACATGATACCAATACGTTCAGGTATCGTTAGATGCCTGGTCTTTTCGTCCATTTCGTTCCAACAGGCTAATATAACAAACATATCGTCGACACCTAATTAATTTATATTTCGTTATTACCTAATTAATAACAAACAAGTTTACACATTTTATACCTAACCCCATTAGAAGAAATGGTAAAGATGTGTGGACAGGACCATAAAACACACCAAATAGAGAGCATAGTCCACATCCAACTATAAACGACATTCCTATGGTTAATAGGCCCAAAAATCCTAAAATAACCTACTCTAAATATAAAAAATATTTTTTTAATTTTTTTTATATATCTACCCGGGCTTCAACGTAATTAAATTTTGAAATTACCAACTGGACATATACTACCATTATAAAAACACCAAGAATAAGTTTGTGTATATCTTGAAACATGGTGGAGTTACTTATATCGCCAAAACTAATATAAAAAATGTTATGTTTTAAAAATACATATTTTAATTTTATTATACCTTCTTCCAGCTTCATAGTAGTAATTATTTTTAATAAATTTTGAAGCATTTTCCATTATTTCAAGAAATTTTAGTTCCCAACTCAGCGATTCTTCAGACGCCTGTTACAGTAATAAAAATTATTATTAAAAAATAAAAACTTAACAATTTATATTACCCAATCAGCTGTCCCCGCCATGTTGCCAACTTTATCCATATCCACAGTAGAGAAATTAATATTCACCCACCATGTGTTGGTGATGGCTCCTGCTTTTACTATAGTACCATTTTCATATTGTATATTACCTAATAATTCCCTATAATTCTTCATTCTACCCATGATTGAACTAAATGAAACAAGAAACAATAAAAATATTTTTTATAAAAGTCGGGGAAACGTACTCAACATTATAGTTGTTTATCACATTTAAAATATCACTTTTTGTTAAAGATTCAATTTTGCTCCTATCAAAATCCCATAGCTCCAATATGCTTCTTTCGAAGCATTCATCTTTCATTACTTCAATGAAGCTGCAGTATAAACCTGGGTTTAGCTCTACACTAGGATCAAACTCTTTTTCTTTGGTACTTTGTGTTTTATTTACATTTTCAAATAATTTAATTAATTGTTTGTCCACCTTGGGAATCCTTAAATCAGGTAGGTATTTAACAAATTTTTTTTAAATTAAAAAATATTTACTTAAAACAAACATCATTCCATGTCACATGATCTGCAGTTATGGAGCTCCTAACTTGTTCATGCACTTCCAACAACTAAAAATTATGTCAAAAAAAAACAAAAATTTTCAATTTTTCTTACATTTTTGAATACTTCAGGAGTAAGGACATCATCACCAGTTATAATGAGGCTTTGCACTCTAAAACCCCTTTCCACAGTCGACATCAACCACTCTGAGTCTCTTATGAAAGTTGTATAGGGCGGTACCCATAACTTAAGCGGATTTTTTTCTTGTCGGAATCTAAGAAAACCCAGTGAACTGATAATTACGAAAATCCAACATAAGAGGATTGTCCGTTTGGGATTTGTGCCCACTTTTAATCCCAATCTAAAAAAAAATTTGATATTAAAAATGGCGGCAACTAATTATGGCGGGAAAATTTTTTATTGGTTGTTTTTATGAATATAGTGACTAATAGGTAAAAGTATGTATCTTGAAAGTACTTACTTGTAAAAAAACAACTCAGTGTACTTCACCACTGTATAAGTAAATTTTTGGAAAATATTCAATTTTTCACTGTCCGTCATACCTAATATTACGAGTATTTTTAAAAAATCTTGTCCAATAGATTTTTTGTAGGAACTGACAAAGGTTTCACATAATTAAGTTGATTAATTACTAATTATTACTTAACCTATTTAAATTTATGATTTACTCAATAAAATTTTATCTAACAATGATGTACATACCACTTGTTTGATTATTTGATTAAATGTACTAGAATCTTACCAATTAAAATAATTTGACTACGTAATGCATTTTGATTTTAGGCTCGATTTTATTTATAAAACACTTTTGTTAACACATTACCTATTATAATACGTAAATTGATTATTAGCTATTGTTATAATTATTTTATTGAGCAAATGAGATTCACAGAATTGAGATAAAAACTAGGTTATGTAAGCAAAATACTATTACATAACCTGTTTTGTGCTGCCCCCTTTAATATAATTAATAAACTATTAAAAACATACAATTGATTGTTTTAATTATTGTTTATTTTAGGTAATTATAGCAGTTTGGCATTGTTTATTTGCATTTTTCAAAAGCGCCATCTGTACGTCAGGTACTCTAACGTATAATGAAACAGCTGTTTCCTGAGGTGCAGTTCTCTTTATTTATGATTAGCCGGCCATTTTGATTCGATTCGATCAACCAATAGTTTATATCGTTGTCAAACGTGATCGTTTTGTTGGTCGAAAATTCAAATTTCACAATTAGAAAGTGCAAAAATGTCTTCAAGATCGAGTAAAACAACGAACGAACAGTTCAGCACGATGATTGATTTTTTGGAGGAACATTCGATGATGATTTCGAATAGATCGAAAAAAGTTTCGGAAAAGTATATTAAAATGTTGAACGATTTATGGGACGATTTGACTCTGTTGCTAAACAACTCTGTCAAAGGAGCTGTGAAATCTAGATCCCAGTGGAAAAAGGTAATTTTCTTCTACTATCTTTAAAATTTTTCTTTGATCTTTTAAATACACTTTGACAATCTTTGGCTTTCGGGCTTTTTAGTCACGGGCTGAAGTTAGCTGACAGTTGTCAAATGTTATACAATTGTCAAATGTTATACAATTGCCAAAATCCCCCATCGTGAAAATGACATAATATTATTGTATATTCCAAAAAATATATTAATTTGAAATGAAAATTGCCATGGCCAGAAAAAATTAACAAAATGAGTTCTAATAAAAGAAATTTTGAAAATATTATTCTTTAGACGAGTATTTTGACAACAGTTTTAATAACCCTTTTTTTATAGGTAATTTGATTGTCTATATTTTTTATTCTAAACATATTTCTGTAAAATGCATATTTATCTTGTTTAAGACTTTTTCAGACTGGAAATACATAAACAAAAAAAAGTATGCAACGCTCCACGCAGACGGTAAAATAAACAAAGACGGTGAAGTTACAGGGCCGTATTTAACGCCATCTGAGGACAGGTTGTTAAGACTTTTAATACAAGCTGAAGGTTCTAAATATGTTTTATCAAATAGTAATGAAAACAATAATGAGTCTAGGACTATATATGTTAAGGAGGAAGATAGTGATGGTAGGTTAAACAAATTAAAAAAATGCTTTTTCTTATTTAAAAAAAACTTTTAGAGTCTGACACACACATAGACATTGGACAGGAAAAAAATTCTAAAAGACTGGCTGAAAAACAAGGAAATTATAAATTGAAAAGACCACACCATGGTTGGTAAAATACATTTTTATTGCATAGGTACAATGTGTGTGATACATTTGTTAATTTATTTTACAGACATCAGTAATGGAATTCCAGATGATGATTTTACAGATGTGGCTATTGAAGGTTCCAATAAAATAGAAATAAAATTACGAGAAAAAGAACTGAACATATATGTTCAGTCTTATAAGACTTATTGAAGCAAAAAATAGAAAAGAAGAGTTAAGATTAAAACAAATTGAGTTAGATTTGCGAAAGGAAGAGTTAAAAATAAAAAAAACACGAATTAGGGATTGAAGAGTATAATTGATAACAAATTAAAATAATTTTATTTAAAAAAATAATAATTATTTTTTTTTCGTTAATATATGTTTTATTTTAAAGGATAATAATTATTGTGTCTTGTTATTATTTTTACTAATAAAAAATATTTTAATTTTAAATGGTAATAATTATCGTGAATTGTTATTTAAGTAAACCTACAATTATTATTTCTAAAAAATATAAAACTCGGTTTTTGCACATTTTTAAAAAATATATATTTTATCTTATTTATGTTCATAACTACACTGCCCACAGCATACCTAAGTAAACCAGATGCATAAGTTAATATTTGTAGAATAAAATACATTTATAAACTTACCGCAGCTGCAAAACTGGGTATTTGTTTCTTCCTGTCTGATGCAAAACTCGGTATTTGAAAAATCACCAATCACGTCGCTATAGTAAAAAAAAGTCCTTTAAAATTAAGTAGTTTAGTAAATAATTGAAATCAAAAGATTTAAAAACATAGTTTTGCATCTTCCTCGTTCAAAGACCAAGTTTTGCAAGTGAAAAGTGCAAATACCAAAAAAATAACAATTAATCAGGTGATTGTTATGCCGTCAGTTAATGCGTATACTATAGTATACGCATTAACTGACGGCATAACAATCACCTGATTAATTGTTATTTTTTTGGTATTTGCACTTTTCACTTGCAAAACTTGGTCTTTGAACGAGGAAGATGCAAAACTATGTTTTTAAATCTTTTGATTTCAATTATTTACTAAACTACTTAATTTTAAAGGACTTTTTTTTACTTTTTGAATAAGAAATGATGCAAAAGCACGTCTATACGATTTTTGTATTTTTTTTTTCAAATATGACCTTATGAGCGGTTTTTCGTGTTTTTCTTAAAATCACTTATCCTGCAAATACAGAGTTGTGCATCTAATGTACTCATATATATTTATATATATATATTTACCTACGTCGCCTAAGTGGGCGTCCGGTCTCTAAGCGTTCTTACTCAGCGTCCGACTATAAACACGAGCGTTTATGAGCGAATATCATTTAAACGGTTAACATGGAGCCTATACCTCTGCAGGTTATCTGAGCGTCTGCAAAAAACACGCTTTTTTAATTCAAGTAAATTATAGCTTAGTTCCAAGCTCAGTTAAAACCGTTTCGCAACGGCAACGCTCATGCGCATAGGATAAATGGTGTCCGAAATTGATCCCTATGATCTGTAATTGATCCTATGTGCATGAGCGTTACCGTTTCGAAACGGTTTTAAGAAAGCTTGGAAGTTTCCTTATTATTATTATTATAAATTATGTTTTTGGAAACTTTTTTATTTTATTTTTGTGTGTAGAATCTGCTCTTAAAGTATTTCTTACTAATTAACGCTAGATATTAAAATAAATTTAAGGAAAATATTTTTTTACTTGATTTTTTTTGTATAATTATTTTTGTCTTTTAAAATACAATATTGGGATCAATAAAAACTATAAAAACCATTCTTCTAGGTCATAAAATTTATTTAAAAAATATAAATCATTAATTTTAGAAAAAAAATTTACTTTTATTAGCCTCCAGAAAAAACTTAGTTGATTTTTTAAATTTGATGAATTGTTATCTTCATAGAGAATTTAATCCCCTACAAAACAATATAAAGGTTTTTTGTTTACTTGTTATATTTAATTGCTTATAAAACAAAAAATACCGGGAAAAAATTTTCCTTTCAAAATTCTTATTTTGGCGAGCGCTAATTAAAAAATGAAGATATAAGGCTGAAATTTTGACTCAATTATTTTTTTGTGACCAAAAAAATAATTTTCATATGGGACCGAAAAAAAAACCAAAGAAGTTTTATTTGACACAGTAATATATGTAGATATTATGTATGTAATCATAAAATCTTAAGAAAATCCAAAGTCGGTTAAATATGATAAAATACCTATAACAATTTGGCATTAAAAACATTAATAAGCCATTTAATTTTTTATAAGTTTGAAAAAGTTTTGATATTTTTACAAAAAAAAAGATTGATTTTTTTACAAAAAAGTTTGATATTTTTCAAAATTCCTTCTGGTTAAAACTAGAGTCCCTTCATAAAAACGATCAAAAATATAACCTCAAAGTAAATTTTTCCCAAATTAAAACAGGACGCAAGACACCCTTCTCTGTTTTTCTGCTCAAATGGTCGAAAAAACGCAGAGAAATATGTTTGCACCGTGACATTGACAATCGTGGCCCGACTCTGGTTATGAAGTCAAAACTAGAGTCCCTTGATTCAATTTTTAGTTTTGACATTTGGACTTAGCTATATATAGTTTTATAGGTCTGACTAAATTGCAATATACCTACATAATATGTATATATTATATAAATATTTTAAACTAATCATCTATTAAGGTGACAGATGCAGGGTTACCAGATTTTATCAAAAAATGGACATTTTGTTTGAATTTACTTTAATTATACACGTAGAATAATAACCAATCATACAATTAACAATGATAATAAAAAAATATACTTACAAATATGACATACTTATGTCAAGAAATTTAAGGAAATATTAAGAAACTAATTATAATAATTTAAATAACAGAAGATAGCCATCATAAGCTGGCCAAATAGTCTAAATTGTGTTAAAGGTCAAAAACTAAAAAAGAAAGAAAAATTAACAATAATTAAGTAACGTCAAATTGACAATTTCTATTGTATCAATGTTCCATTTTTTGACAAAATCTGGAAACCCATGATCGCTATATTTCTTTTTTATCCACAAATAAATTTTAATTTAATAAATACTGTTTAAGCAGAACTGAAATAACTGATGTTGCTAAAAAAATGAATTCTGCAAACGAACTTAAAAAATGTGGTAGTACGTAAAAGTAGCCCGAAAATAAAGTAAAATCTAAAATATTACTAATTTACAGGTACGAGAGCGAAAATTATACATATTTAGTTAACAATTGTTATTAATCACTATTTTAAACTTTAATACCTAATACCACCATTTAGCGCTCAAAACAAATAAGAAATCCAGAAAAACCTAATTTATATTTAAGAAGGGATACTTAATCAGCGCTTTCGCTGGGCGCCCAGATAACCGCTGCAGTAAATATATAAACACCGTGTTTATAAATCCTGGGATCGTAGCGCCTTTATGCGGAAATAAGCTGAACTACACTATAAACGTTAATCAAAAAACCGGCAAGTGAGCGTCCATCTTTTTTTATTTTAAAATAATCTATGCAACCAAAGATACTATTTAAGCAGGTTCTTAAGGAGTGGTCAGTGAGCGTCCGTTTATCGGACGCCTGGTGACTTCGGACGCTCAGTAAATTTTACACAGGGGACGCCCAGTTATACCATATAGATATATATATATATATTAGACTGGTTCAAAAAAATCGAATATTTTTTTTTCTTCAAAGCCCGCATTGAAATATCTTCCTAGCAGTAAAAAAAGAAGCCTGTGAAAATTGTAGCTCTTAATATTAATATTTAGAGGTCGCTCATCGTGAATTTCTATTTTACGTTTAAATAACACAGGAATTCTTTTTTCTTAACTTTGAAATTGTATAACTCGTTTTTGAGTGAACATATTGACATGAACTCTATATATTTTTGAAGAAAATTGAACGTTCTACAAAAAATGTCTCCTATAATTTTTTCGTAAATTCACTCCTTTAATAGTTATTCATAGTTGAAATTAGACATATAATAAATGTAACGTTTAAACACAGGAATTTTTTTTTTTAACTTTTAATTTTATAACTTTTAATAGGTGATAAAGCATCAAAAATAAGGTAGACTTTCATAAAAAAACATTTCTTAAAAATGTTTCCTAAGAGAAATACAGGCCGTCAAAGTTTACAAAAAAAAATAGTTTTCTCTTCATAACTTTTAAACCACAAAATTAATTTGGCACACAATGTAATATAGTCAGTGCCTTAATAATGATGTAGATAATTATTTAAAAAAAAACATCAGTGCCGCAATTACTTGGGGGGCTGCTCCCCTTTTCACCTTAGGCGCCACTGGAATTTTTTTAAATAATAAACACATTTTTAGATTATCTGTTTAATTTAGAGAAAAAAACTACTCATGTAAAATTTTGATTTAGTGCTTCATTTTTTAAATAATTAATTTTTGTAGATATGTATATGTAATATATAGAGTTCATTCTAATATGTTCACTCAAAAACGAGTTATACAATTTCAAAGTTAAGAAAAAAGAATTCCTGTGTTATTTAAACGTAAAATAGAAATTCACGATGAGCGACCTCTAAATATTAATATTAAGAGCTACAATTTTCACAGGCTTCTTTTTTTACTGCTAGGAAGATATTTCAATGCGGGCTTTGAAGAAAAAAAAATATTCGATTTTTTTGAACCAGTCTAATATATATATATATATATATATATATATATATATATATATATGGTACTTTTACGCGTATATATATATATATATTATAATATAGCACTATAGTGCTGAACATTAGATCCGGATCCTTTTTCAATCCGGATCAGATCCGGATCTGATCCGGATTTTTCAACGTGCATAATCCGGTTCCGGATCTATCCGGATATAATACTTCGATTTTAGATTCGGATCAAAGATCCGAATACTGGATCTTTGTAGTCCTAAACATCAGATCCGGATCTTCTTCAATCCGGATCAGATCCGGATCTTTTTCAATCCGGATCAGATCCGGAGCAAAGATCCGAAATCCGAATACACAACTGCTTAAAAGGGTTTTTTCTCAACCATATGCTTATAATTAATATTAATAATATAATTTATAATATATATATCATTTATTAGTTAATTCTAAGTCTATTTTCTCAATACAAAAATATTTGGCCGCTTCTCTTTTAACAAAAACTACGTCGATTGTTCACCAAGACAAACTTAAGATGTCATAATAAGGAAATTCTTCATTGCGAAATAAAGTTAATAATTTATCCGGTATCCGGATCTTAGTTCCGGATATCG